AGTTGTAGCTTTGCTCCCGCTCCGAGAAAATTTCAAATGGAAGTGAACTGCATATTGGAAAAATGGCTAAGCCTAAATTCGGCACGACGGCGAATATACACGGATCTCTGCGCCATTGAACCTTCAATCCTAACCCTGAATCCCAGGCTCTGCAAGAAGACCCCAAATGTCCGCCGCAGGCGTAGCCCTAAACTCGAGAGCTTTGAGTCAAACCTATTGCCCTGAATGCCGAAATCCCTACTAACTACTCTTTAAACCTAAACGTCAAGCTTTCAGGTCTATGGGTATATGGTATAAGGCTTCTCTTGAAGCCTTAAGAACGAGCCGTGCCTCGCCCTTCAAGAGACAAGGCTGGAGGATTCATTGCGGGGCAACTCAAAGACTGTCCGGCTCACAGAGGGAGGGGATTGCGGGGGTTTGGGGTTTACCTTAAGGGCCTTAGCCATGATCGGGACTTCGTGTTTAGAGTTTAGAGTTGTTTTTTTTTGTTGGGGGCAGGGGGGGGGGGGTAGCCGGTGTAGAAAAACATCAAGCCTTTCGTTGCCACCTGTGCAAATCGTATGGGATGTATCGAGGCTTTACAGAGACAATGGCAGTCTGCGGGAAGGTGGATTTCTCGGGATGCGGAGCTCAGCAATGAAGCCGAAGTCTTGTGAATTGGCTGTCGCGCCATGGTTGTAATTCCTGTTTAGCCATACTGTTGATGATTTAAATCCTGCATTACCCATAATAAGGATTGTACCATAACTTCCATAGTTTAGGGTCCTTAAGGTATTGCTGGATGTATCATCAGCAGTGGTGACACAGTACATCAAGACATCAGTGCAGTTCGCAGAGACGTAGAGACAACATGGAGCCTTGGACTCATGAACCTAATGTAGGGGCCTAAATAATTACCGATACTATTTTGAGGTTCCTTATTTGGATTATAGTATAATGGGCCCCAACACCCTGTTCTAAGTATTAAGGCCCCTGTGTTAGTCTCGTCAATAAGTTTCACTGTTCTGGTGTTGAAGGTTCTGGTCCGTGGTAGCTTAATCCCGAGTTCTCCTGCCGAGCTGCAGAAGACCAGAGAACACGCGTTCGTTCTGGCAGTAATTCCTAAAGTGTCGCAGCTCGGTTGGTGTTTTGGTGAAACTTCTTGTGTAATTTAACTGGATATCCCTTACGTCTACCAGTGTGAAATCCGGTGCCGGAAGACCTTCCTTAACTTCATTGCTGGCACTTAGATCCATCGGCATTTAACCCGGGATCGGCCCTTGGGGTCTTTCAAACAAGGCTCCTCGCATCCGAAGCATGCCGAAGTGGTGGGTCGGGATGCGTGCCTACGGTGTAAGTAGTGGGGTCGGGGCATTAGGAACTGAATCCCACGGCCAGCACCGAGGTGATGATTGCAGCGCTTTCTCCCGCCGAGTTCAACTATGAAGAAACCTTGAGCACCCTGCTGCCCCTTGGGCCCAAGAGAGCTGTAGCTCTTGTTGCCTTGAGGGTTCTGATGACCGACTGCCTTGTGAGTGAACCTTCGATGCTGAGGTTCGCGCAAAGTGTGAAGGCCGGATGCGCAGATCGAATGGGTTTGTGCCGCCCAAACTGCTATTTGCACTCATGGCAGGCCGTGAAGACCAACGCGAAGAAGAACGAGAATCTGGAGGCATGGAAACGAACGCATCAAGAACGAGAGCAGAGACCATTCGGGACGAAGTTAAGGCTTTCTGTCCCAAAAGGATCTACGAATTTGCAAGCACCGCTTTGTGCCTTGCGAGCTTGTTGGACAAGGGACCAAACAGAGTGCAAGCTTCAACACTTCCCACGGAAGGGTCGATAGGCCGCCGGCCGCGCAAAAATAGATGCCGTGTAGACCGCAGCTATGACTTTAAGCTTATCCAACTGTGGCATAAATAATTGCCATAGCTTGTATTCCCGACCGAACAGTGCTGGCTTTTGCACCGACGGGTGTTTGGACAAGCACATGCAGTGACCTGTTCCAGACACAAACGTGTCCGGTACTTGCTGAACTTGTTGCTGAGCTGTGTGAGTAGCATCAGGGAGTTAGAACATCATGTTAGAGCACCTTCTGAGTGACACGGCATACATAGGCATACCAGCTAGCGTATCGCTATACGGCCCCTGCTTGAGGACAATCTGATCCAGGATCTCGAGGCAGAGTGCGAGCGGCTGCGCCAGCTTGTGAACATGGATGCAGGACACCACTCGGGCCTACAGATTCGAATGTTCCCCTAAACCCTAAACGGGAATCAAAAAGAGACAGGGAACTTGAAAGATTCCAGTTTTCGACACGCAGGTGTCCAAAAAGCCCCTGCTACCATGAACCTGCAAAGCCTCTCCCCTGGTCGTAGAATGGTCGTGAATCGCATCACTGCGTTGACAGCACATCATAATTGCGGTTCCTCTCCATTCGTGGCATGCCTTCTCTCGAGCCGCCAGATCAGGAAACAGCCAGCTACAAGAGCTTGCTGCCCTGGAGGAAATGCAGAGGCAGGGCGGGGGGAATTCTTCATGTTGGTTTCTCAGTGTAAGACAGTGTGTGTGTGTGTGTGCATGCGTGTGCGTGTTTGTGTATGCGCGTGCAAAGACATACCCATGCTATGTATGTGCGTGCGTACAGCTCGTATGTATGTACCTATGTAAGTAGGCAAATGTCACCTGTGCAGGTGTGTTGGTTCGTGGTGTGTATGTTTTATGCCAGGTGAGCATGCATAGCAGCAATGCAGTCGCATGTTTATCTGCCATCCACATGGGCACTTGCAGTGCTGCAGCACCATGCTGGGACTCACTCTCGATACATAGCTTAATTCGTAACCGTAGCCGTGTTAAGCCCTAAAGCCCCTATTGTACTCTCTCCTGTCTATCTCACTCACCCTGCCTATCTCTCTCTCTCTCTCTCCCTCAACTGGTCATGTGATAGCACACCCAGGCGGTGGCACCCAGACAAGACCTCTTCCACACATTGAAATGTTGAGATAGTTTTACCGTAAACATACGGTCTCTGATTAAATAGTACTTCCCGGGTGGAGGGAGTTGCACCTTTTCGGCCCTGAGTCGAAAGCTTCGTCGACTCCCAGCCCCGAGGAAGTATGGGCGAGACTTCGAAGAGCAGTTGCTCTTCGGCTGTGTTGGCCATGCTTCTGCCAGAGGGGCCATCAGCTTTGGACCCTGCGACGTGTTGTCCAGGTGACAAGTTTCTGCAGAGGAAAGGGCTATCCCTAAACCTTAAACCCTAAACCCTAAACCCTAGCCGGGTCTTGGTACCCCGCAAGGAAGTTGGCCGAAGACCTGCAGAAGCAGCGGGAGACCCTCTTGGCGGATGCCGGCCTGACTGCCAAGGACAACCGGGCGTCGTGCCGGGAGACTTGGGTGGGTCCCAACAGGGCAAGAAGAAACGTAGTCAGAACAATTGACAGAACTATAGCAGGAGTGATAAACAAGATGGCAGCCGAACTCTGACAACATTGGTGGTCATAGCAGGATAGCAGACACACTAAGAAGCGCGACGCTCGAGAAAGCCAATAAGCACATGCTGTTGTCATCATGTTTATGAAGTTACGGGGCTCGGAGTTTAGGACTCAACAATTCTCTGAGGCATCTATGTGTGTGTGTGTGCGCGCGCGTGCGCTGCTTTTGTTTAAGCTTTGCGTCTGAAAGGAGCTGACGACCAGCGTCGGGCTGGATGATCGAACCCCACATCTTCTCAACGAACCCTGCCAGCACTTGAAAAGACACAGCGTCATGTGGTCGGAGTTCAAGTGCGACCTCGATGAGCAGATTCCATGATTATGTAGGTCTGAAGTCCTATCTAGAGTCTGACCGCTCAGTCGTTAGCATCTACCTACAATTTGGTCGCGGATGTGTATATGTAAGACAGCCATAGCGCCATAGCGAACATGGCTTGTCACATCCGGAGAATTTGCGACAGTTCGATTAAGTTTTGTGTATGTATGGTGTTTAAAGCGAGGCAGAGTAGCGTGTTTACACTCTTTTTTAATGGAATTGAGAGGTGTCAGACAAATCGCGGGAGGTTAGGGATCGTGCGCCTCTGAGTCTTTGCTCTCAGGGTTTAGAACTCACGGTAACATATCTTGACCAAGCAGCAGCGTTTGCATGATCTGCAAGCATGAGTTGAAGCTTGGTGGTTGAAATGGTTGCCGCTTCAGAAGGCACCGCCCTGAGTAATGGCTGCATATCGGTGAACCTGGGTACTGCGCGTTGGCCTCCGCTATGTTCGAAAGATAAACCAGAACCCACATAGTAAAGTTCCTGATCAACAGGATCCCCAACGAAGGGCACCCTTAATGTTAAGAAACCCACAGATGCGCAACCAAGATTTGCTACGATCCGGAGCTGAATGGATGCTTGATCTACTTCTTGCAGAAGGGCGCATCCCGGATTCCCTTCATGCTGGGGGGAGGTATGGCAATTCCCTAAACCCTGAACCCTAATCCCTAAACCCTATAATATCGAAATCCTGAGTTTTTAAGGGGAGATGGTGTGTTTGACATTTTGTCGCCCTTCGGCTCCATGGTTGGGTTGCACCCTGAGCCGGCAAACTCGAAAACTTCCGGACGCCTGGTGCGGGGTTTTCGGGGTTTTCGGTCACTGGATTTCAAGGTTTACACGGCTTTAGGGCCGAAGGAATGTCTGGAGTCTACGTGCGGTATGCCCCGGGATCTCAACAGCAGCTTGGTTGAGGTGATAGGGCCCTTGCAAGTGTTGGCGACGATGGCGGCCCCTTAAAAGGGTGGAGGCCCTGAAGTAGCAGGTTTTTGGATTCTCAAGCTCCGGATCCCTCATCCCGACCCCACTTGATGCATCAGGGGAGCGCAAGTAGCCCTAAGGGTCCATCTGCCCAAACAAGTAATTATATGCTTTGGCCTAAGAAACCCCTGTTTTTAAGGGGTACTTTAGGACCGAAGCATGTTCTATTAGGGCACACGGACCTTTAGGGTAGGTTAGAGGTACAGATAGGTCTCCTGAAGAGGGTTACCTAAGTCCCATGATCCTTTACACAGCCCAGGTCCCAAACACAGGTCCGCTGATTGTCTTCACTAGTAACTAGCAACTAGCATTGTTGTAATGTCGTCATCGCCATTGTTCATTTAATCGCACCATTTCCATGGCTATCATTATGGTCGTCTTGCATTTTAAGCTTATCACTAGTAGTAGTAGTAGTCGTCGTCGTCGTCGTCGTCGTCGTCGTCGTCGTCCTCGTCGTGGTAGTAGCAGTAGTAGTACGTAGTAGTAGTAGTAGTAGTAGTAGTAGTCGTCGTCGTCGTCGTCGTCGTGGTAGTAGCAGTAGTAGTAGTA